AGTGGCGTACATTCCCCTGCTCAGCTAGTTTGATTTTCCGTCTTTGTTGGAAGGAAAAGCACACGCTTTGACTCTCACACGTGCATTTTTGCAGCTCAAGAATGCACAAATATCATGCACACACACAAACTCTGAATCACGGCTGTATTTGAGCTTGTGAAGCGCTCTGGTGATTTACATAACCATCATGCCGTTGTGCTTCGCTCAAAATGGCGCGGCGTTAGCCAGACCAGAGCTGCAAATGGAGGATCTTCAGAGCTGTTGATAAGCGTTCATTTCACACACTTTAATGAAAGTTTGGGTCATTCGTGTTTTATCCTGTGTGTGTGTGTTTGTGTGTGTGTGTGTGTGTGTGTGTGTGTGTGTGTGTGTGTGTGTGTGTGTGTGTGAGGAAAGGACGGCTGCTGTTGAGAGGAGAACGTTGTCATTTTGCCGGTGTGTGTGTGTTGAGCTTAAAGCTTGTGCGTCACTCTGTTAGACAGAGATGAAGAGGTGCTTTAGCCACACACACACACACACACACACACGTGATTGTGTTCTGTTAATGATTATATAAACACTCTTCTCATACAGCTTCACATAAAGCTCATAAATGCAGCGTCTGCTTCGTTAGACGTGTTTGCTGTTGCATGTAGTTAGTGTTAGTTAATTAAACAAACCCTCTTAAGACCTGTTCACATCAATTATAACAAGAGCTATAATGATAACTGTAACATCTATAATGATAACTGTAACAAGAACTGTAACGATAACTATAATAATAACTGTAACAATAACTAATGATAACTGTAACAATAACTGTAACGATAACTAATGATAACGTAACAAGAACTATGATAACTTTAATGATAACTATAACAAGAACTAGACTATAATGATAACTGTAACAAGAACTATAATGATAACTAACAATAACTGTGATGATAACTAACAATAACTGTAAAATATACAATGATAACTGTAACAAAAACTGTAATGATAACTGTAACAAGAACTATAATGATAACTAACAATAACTGTGATGATAACTGTAACAATAGCAGTAACATCTATAATGATAACTGTAACAAGAACGGTAATGATAACTGTAACAATAGCTGTAAAATATATAATGATAACTGTAACAATAGCTGTAACATCTATAATAATAACTGTAAAATATATAATGATAACTGTAATAAGAACTGTAACGATAACTGTAACAAGAACTATAATGATAACTAACAATAACTGTGATGATAACTGTAACAATAGCTGTAAAATATATAATGATAACTGTAACAAAAACTGTAATGATAACTGTAACAAGAACTATAATGATAACTAACAATAACTGTGATGATAACTGTAACATCAATAATGATAACTGTAAAATATATAATGATAACTGTAACAAAAACTGTAATGATAACTGTAACAAGAACTATAATGATAACTAACAATAACTGATGATAACTAACAATAACTGTAAAATATATAATGATAACTGTAACAAGAACTGTAACGATAACTAATGATAACTGTAACAAGAACTATAATGATAACTAACAATAACTGTGATGATAACTGTAACATCAATAATGATAACTGTAAAATATATAATGATAACTGTAACAAGAACTGTAACATCTATAATGATAACTGTAAGAAGAACTGTAACATCTATAATGATAACTGTCACAGTAACTGTAACATCTATAATGATAACTAACAAGAACTGTAACATCTATAATGATAACTGTAACAAGAACTGTAACATCTATAATGATAACTGTCACAGTAACTGTAACAAGAAAGAACTGTAAGGATAACTATAATGATAACTAAAATTATAACTGTAACACTATATTTAACAATAACTGTAACCAAAACTAAAACAATAATGATAACTAACATATCTGTAACAACAATAAATAAATATAATGTTAATCATAATGAGAACTATAACTATGCTGATAACTGTAATGATTACTGTATAACAATAGATTTATCACCGCACTGTTCTTTTAACCCTCTTTTCCTTTTATTCTAATGTAGAATCTTAATAATTTTAATTTTAAATTCAGTTTAAACAATTTATCCTTTTTCATTTTTTACTTTTATTGTATATGTTATAATGTTTAAATATTTCTTATACAACTTTTTATAATTATTATTTTTTTAATTTTCTGTAAGCCACTTTGAATTACCTCTGTGTATGAAGTGTGCTATATAAATAAACTTACCTTGCCTAATGATAATTATCATAATAACTATAACAATAACTGCAATGAGAATTTTAACTGTAAAGCTAACTATAACTATAATAATAACTATAACAAAAAAATGTATACCTTTATAAGTATCACTAAAAATAACTGAAACAGTAAGTGTATCAATAACAATAATGATAATTGTAACGATAACTATAATGATAACTTCAACGATAACTATAACTAATGATAACTGTATCTTTAGTAATAACATTTTAACTGTAATAATACCTATAGTGATAACTATAATAATAACTATAACAAAAAATATGATACCTTTATAAGTATCACTAAAAATAACTGAAACAGTAAGTGTATCAATAACTGTAATGATAATTGTAACTAACTATAACTGTAACAATAACTATAATGATAACTTCAACGATAACTATAACTAATGCTAACTGTAACTTTAGTAATAACATTTTAACTGTAATAATACCTATAGTGATAACTATAATGTTAACTGCAACTATAACTAACAATAACTGAAACGATAACTTTAATGATAATTGTAGCGTTATATTAGCATTCACACCAGCGGATGATAACGTTGTGTTCATTATAAGCATGCTGCAGTTTTGTCGTCTGTCGCTTTAAATGCTCGAAGCTCGTTAAAGTCGTTGGATTCTGATTGGCTGTCAGTGTTTTTATAGTTTATCGGCTGGAAATACTCAGTTATATCGTTCCTGTGGAATACCTCACTCTGATTGGTCAGTTGCCTCACTCTGATTGGTCCGTTGCCTCACTCTGATTGGTCCATTGCCTCACTCTGATTGGTCCGTTGCCTCACTCTGATTGGTCCATTGCCTCACTCTGATTGGTCCGTTGCCTCACTCTGATTGGTCCATTGCCTCACTCTGATTGGTCCGTTGCCTCACTTGCCTCCACTCTGATTGGTCCGTTGCCTCACTCTGATTGGTCCGTTGCCTCACTCTGATTGGTCCGTTGCCTCTACTCTGATTGGTCCGTTGCCTCACTCTGATTGGCCAGAGCGAGTGATTTGTGGGAAACACATGTGAGTAATGGAAGCGTGTGAGTTTGGAGATGTTTCTGTCCGCTTCGCGTCGGATTATTTTGTTCTGTGAACGTTGTGAGTGAATGATCTGGAATCTGGACGGGAAAGCAAACATGAGCCACAGCTGAGTAATTTCCCATCAGGCCTTTCTCATTCCCAATTTCTGCTGAAGTCCACTGGTGGAGACGGTCTTTCATTTTCATGACAATGTCAGAGCTTTTAGGATTAACACTGCTTTTCTCCTGTGTCTTGGGCTCACAGAGAACAACAGAAGAAATTAGATTTTGCTTAAACAAAATGAAGCCTAATTTAGGACTACGAAGAGTTTTTGCAGTATTTTCATCACAATTAAACACAACATGTGACCCTGCAGCACAAAAGCAACTTTAAAGGTGATTTTCTCAATATTTAGATTTTTTTGCACCCTCAGATTCCAGATTTTCAAATATCGTCCTATCCTAACAAACCATACATCAATGTTAAGCTTGTTTATTCAGCTTTCAGATGATGCATAAATCTCAATCTCAAAAAAATGATGCTTATGACTGGTTTTGTGCTCCAGGGTCACACATCATGAATGTTTGTGGCAGGTCCTGTAGTCTCTGTCGCTCCTGCAGACGCGCTTCATCCCATCGTTTCTCCTCCACTCAGAGTTTATCGTCGAGTCGAGGCTTTAACACCAGCGTCAGTCGAGCCGATCGAAAGCGCACAGCAACGCTTCCGTCACGATCTTTCTTAAGCGTTGGTCTTTGGGTTTTCTCAGCGGTGTGGACTCCGACAGCCTTCTCGTTTTCTCTCCATCATGCATAATAAAGCGTGAGTGTTGGCTGTGACGGGAGAACAGGAAACACATCTAACACCTCTGATTCTCATGCTAATGAGACGAACCGGCCAATCCGCCGCTGATATTTCACGCCCGCACACATCCGTGCAAATTACAATTGTGTGTTCGTGCGAGTGTGTGTGTGTGCAATGGATCCTGGTTGGTTGCACACACACACACACACACACACACACACACACACACATGCGTGCACACGGTTGCACTAGAGCCGTCATCACTATTCTAGCATTTCTTTATTTCTTTATTTGCGCTGGCATCCGCTGCAGCACAAAATGGCTTGGCTGCTGTTTGTGATCGTCTCAAGAGTTGCTCTGCCCCGATAACACACAAACACGACAGATAAACACAGAACTAATCTGAAATACAGGGATTTTTTTGTGTGCTTTAGTTTGTGAGTGTGTGTGTGTGTGTGTGTGTGTGTGTTTGTGTGTGTGTGTGTGTATAAATACACACATTATAATAATAATAAATAGTTTTTTATGATTTTGCTCACCAAAGTTGCATTTATTTGATCAAAAATACTGTAAAATTGTGAAATATTATTCTAATGTAAATAAGCTGTTTTCTATGTGAATATCTATTAAACTGTAATTTATTTCTGTGATGCGCAGCTGTATTTTCAGCATCATTACTCCAGTCTTCAGTGCTAATAATCGGAAATATTTCTCGAGCAGCAAATCAGCATATTAGAATGATTTCTGAAGATCATGTGACACTGATCTTAATTATTAAAAATCTTAATTATTCCAAACTCCTGACTGATAGTGTACGATCAATACATAAATATAATAAAATTGCATACAATAGTTGTACATTTTATATAATGAAATGTTATAATGTTTATTTTGCATAACTAATAATTAATATTTGACATGGTTTTTTGTAGATGGAAGATGGTCAGACGCTCTTTGATTATAACGTCGGTCTTAACGACATCGTTCAGCTTCTCATTCGCTCGCAGACGGATGCGCCAGACAGCCCCTCCCCCAACAGCGATGAGGGCGTGGCCTGTGCCGTAGCCCCGCCCACCACATCATCTGCCCCCGCCTCAGCCACACCCACCACAACAGTCGTTTCCCCGGCAACCGTCGCCAACAGCAACGGAAACGGGTCCAAACCCTGCAGCCCGGAGCCGGAGAGCCAGCCGTCCACATCCAGCCGGACGCTGCTCCTCGATCCCGGGATCGGACTCTTCAGAGTAAGAACAATACTGTTTGCATGCTAACTCTATGTGACTGTTAGAGACAGAGCGACACGCGTCATAATCTGAAAACAATCCAACGATCTCCATTGACTCTGTATTGCGGTGTGGGCGTGGCCTAAATGCGCTCTGTCTCTATAGTTTCCAAAAAACTTCAGGGATTATTCTATGAAATAATTGTAGCATCGGTCATGCCTGACTCTTTACTCGTTACTCCTTAGATGGTAGGCAAATTATACAGTTTATGGTGAATTATTGTGTGTATTTTTAAAATATTATTGTTTTTATATTACTTCTAAAATACTATATTATTAAAATATTATTTTAATAATAACAATATTTTAAAATATTATTTTCGTTTTAATATTGTTTTGAAATAATTTTTTTGTTATTATTTATCACATTGTTTTTTTATTAATTTAATCTAACAGGGTAATTGTACTAAATGTACACATTAAATTGAAAGTGCTACAAAACAATTTTATATGCATTAATCATAGCAATAAGTTTGTAATATTATTTAATATTTACATGAGTCGGGTAGAAATTCTAACATTTGGAATTATTATTATTATTATTATTATTAATGGCAATATAATTAATAATCAAAAATATTATTTTAGTTTTTATATTATGATTTTTATATTTATTATTATTTTTTATTACATTGTTTTTTATTAATTTAATTTAAAATGTATTAATTACATTAAAATTAACACATTGGATTTCTACATGCCATAAAATATTATATGCATTAATAATAACAATAATAAAGGTAATCTCTTTATTATCCATTTACCATTTATTTATCTATTTATTACCATTCATTATTTATTACCTTTATTATCATTTATTAACAATAATGGCAATAACATTAATAATCAAAAACATCATTTTAGTTTTCATATTATGATTTTTATATTTTTTATTGTTTTTATCACATTGTTTTTCATTAATTTAATTTAACATTAATTAATTGCATTAACATTAACTCGTTAAATTGCTACATGCTATAAAACATTATGTGCATTAATAATAACAATAATAAATGTAATCTCTTTATTATCCTTTAATATTTAGTATTTACCAAAAGTGTTAATTCTGACATTTGGAGTAATAATAATAGTAGTAATAATAACAATAGAGTTATATAATAATGATAATTATTATTATTATTAGTTTAATAATTATAATAATAATTATTATTATTATAGAATTTTTTTTTTATTTTTATTTTTTATTTATGATAGTTATTATTATTATTATTATTATTATTATATGTGACCCTGCAGCACAAAAGCAGTGTTAAGTCGCTGGGGTATATTTGTAGCAATAGCCAACAATACATTGTATGGGTCAAAATTATAGATTTTCCTTTAATGCCAAAAATCATTAGGATATTAAGTAAAGATCATGTTCCATGAAGATATTTTGTACATTTCCTACCGTAAATATATCAAAACTTAATTTTTGATTAGTAATATGCATGGCTAAGAACTTCATTTGGACAACTTTAAAGATGATTTTCTCAATATTTAGATTTTTTTGCACCCTCAGATACCAGATTTTCAAATATCGTCCTATCCTAACAAACCATACATCAATGGAAAGCTTATTTATTCAGCTTTCAGACTGGTTGTGTGCTCCAGGGTCAAGCACTCTAACAGTAGCTGTGTTGTTCAGGTGAATGAGTTAGTGGACTGCAGGGACGTCAGCATCGGCGCCTGGTTCGAAGGCGTGATTGAGAAGGTCTCTCCTGCATCTAAAGGACAGAACGGCAGAGTCGGCCGACCCAGCAAACGCACTAACAACAAGCTGGAGTCTGAGCCTTCATCCTCATCATCCTCATCATCCAGGGACACTCACAGCACAGCGCTACACTCGGACCAACCATCCACGTCCCAAACGGATCCGCCGCACGTCTCCTACCACATTAAATATGAAGAGTAAGTGCATCATGGGAAGGAAGGCTCGTTGTTTTTCCCTGCTTGTCTGGATGTTCGTTTCTAAAGCGCTGTTTGGCACTGGATTGCTTTATTGCTGTGAGGAGGTGCATGATGGGATGCGTTCTGAATGCGGTAAGTGTATCGATTCCAAGAGCAATGCATGCTGGGAAACCGATGCTGATTGGGAGCTCATGCTGATCCGAGAACAGCGTTTGTGCTCAGGTCACATGGTTTGTGTTGATGATTCATGTTTGTTGTTTATGTTGTTTTTTTTAAAATCTGGGTTCAGTTTTAAATATACTAATAATATACTAATATATTCTTTATTAATGTATTCTACTAATATATTGTTTTCTTTTTATTGATTATACAATTAACAAAAAAGGCCTCTAACACTCCTCTGTTGCTCTTTTGTTGGGTTTGATTGCTTCTGTTGTCCTCATTTGGATAAAAGCGTCTGCTAAATGACTAAATGTAAATGTACTAATATTATATATTATTTAAAATAATATAAAATATATTATTAAAATATATATATTTTATATATATTTTTTGCATATAAATAAATCAAATTAAACATAATTAAAAAAATAATATTATTTAAATAATATATAATGATATATTTATTTTATTTTATTTATTTTTTATTTATTTAAATAAAATAATAATATATAATATAATATATAATTATTATTGAAATATTATATAATATTATATATTTAAATGCTAAAAGCCAAAACCGTGAAAATGGACGTCATATTTTTTTTTTTTACATTTTGTTCCCCACAAGTATTGTTTTTATTTAAAAATTATTATTATTATTATTATTTGCATTTATTTGTCTTAGGTTTTTAACATAATTAAATAAGCATGTTTAAATGATAATATTGCTTATTTTTATTTAAATGTTAAAAACCTTCAAACATGTAATCTGACATTTTTTATTCTGTCCCCCAACAGCTATTGTTCTTTTATATCTATATTAATATGTAAATATTTACAATTATTTGTATATATGTTTTTTTTTTTTTACATATAAGTAGATAAAATAAAACATGTTAAATATGAAGAGTAAGTGCATCATGGGAAGGAAGGCTCGTTGTTTTTCCCTGCTTGTCTGGATGTTCGTTTCTAAAGCGCTGTTTGGCACTGGATTGCTTTATTGCTGTGAGGAGGTGCATGATGGGATGCGTTCTGAATGCGGTAAGTGTATCGATTCCAAGAGCAATGCATGCTGGGAAACCGATGCTGATTGGGAGCTCATGCTGATCCGAGAACAGCGTTTGTGCTCAGGTCACATGGTTTGTGTTGATGATTCATGTTTGTTGTTTATGTTGTTTTTTTTAAAATCTGGGTTCAGTTTTAAATATACTAATAATATACTAATATATTCTTTATTAATGTATTCTACTAATATATTGTTTTCTTTTTATTGATTATACAATTAACAAAAAAGGCCTCTAACACTCCTCTGTTGCTCTTTTGTTGGGTTTGATTGCTTCTGTTGTCCTCATTTGGATAAAAGCGTCTGCTAAATGACTAAATAAATAAATAAATAAATAAAACTATGCATACCAACCCGATCTCTAGAGTTGGGAGATATGCTTAATTGTCATATTGTCCTATCGTCAGCCTGTGAGATCGCCGATACACGCATCCAAGATGTAGGTGACTTTGTTTCTTCAGTAGAACACAGATTATGATTTTTAAGTCCAGCAAACATCACATTTTCATTTTTGGATGAACTATCCCTTTAAATGCTAAAAACTAAAACTATGTTTTATTTTGTCTCCACTATTGTTTTGTTTTTTTAAAACGATTTGTCTTTGGTTTTTAACACAAATAAAACATGTTCAAATTATATTTGTTGGTGGATGAGGAGACCCCCCTCACAATGTAAAGCACTTTGAGTGCCTAGAAAAGCACTATATAAATGTAATGAGTTATTATTCATTAGTATTATATTATTTATTTATGTTTTATGTTTAAAAAAAACCTAAAAACATGCAAACTGACATCATTCCCCTCCCCCTCCCACAACAACTGTTGTTTTTTAATATTTATATTAATATTAAAATGTTTACAATTATTTGTCTTTGGTTTTTTAGCATTTCAGTAAAATAAAACCTGTTTAAACAGTATTATTTGTTAGTTTGTTTAAATGCTAAAAAACTAATATCGTGTAAATTGACATTTGCAATATTTAAAATATTAAAATATTTAATTTTAAAAATAAATATTTAAAATATTATATTATTATATTAAGCATTTAAAATATTTTAAGAATTTTTTTGTCTTAGGTTTGTAGCATTTAAATAAAACATGCTTAACTAACATTTTTAATGCTAAAAATCTTAAAACAAAATTGATATCACATATGTGTTTGATTGTGTTCAGATGGTCTCTATGTCTAAATATTAAATGTCACAGATTAATATTTACTCAGTAATGCACTATTTTGTAAAAAGGGGTCAAAATGGCAATTTTCACCTGAGATTCAGAGCCAAATTACAGGAGGTTAAAAATGACGTCAGAAAGATGGCAGCATCGTAATGTTATTTTTACACAGAGATTGGTTGCTTTATTAGTCAAATCTGTTGACTTCAGCAATCTTTGTTGCATTATGAGCCAATGGTGAGCATTCAAAAATGGGGAAAGAGCACTTACCCCATATCTCTGGTTCTGAACGATGTAGGGCCTTAAAAAATAATACTTCTTGAGTTATAGGCACACAAACTTCAAGGGTATGTTCAATGCAGTTGTTTTGACAGAAGGAAACAAGATACATTTCTAGTTTCAACATTATTTATTCTTCAGACTTTCCTCTTTAAAAGAAAATAAGTATCATATTTTTGCAAAGTGACCCACATTTGGTTTTTGACCATTGACAATGTGTACATTTTAACAATTTACTCCTGGAGCCATATTGAAATTCCAATATCTCTGGAACCGAACCATATAGGGCCTTAAAAATGAAGATGCCAAAAGAGAAGTTTGTTAAGACCCAATATCTAAAAGGGCATTAAGATATATTTAATACTTCTTGAGTTACAGGCCTGCAAACTTTGGAGAAAAAGCTTGAAAAGTGCTGTCACACCATCACTTCCTGTCTGACTTGTGAGATTTATTGCATTACACTTTATTATGTGTGAGTGTGAGTGTGAGTGTGAGTGTGTGTGTG